AGGTTAAGCGAGAAATACAACAATGGATGTATTGCATCGATGTCAAGGAGCAATTTGATGTACGTTTCATGATAACGGCACTCATATTTAGTCGACAGGGATTCAATATGTTCCAAGCACGCAGTGTTCAGGGGCCACATGTTATCTTTTACGAGTGCTAGCTACGCTCTCATTTTCAGTGATAATTTTTTACTCTGCAATAAAAATTGGTCCATATTCACTGTATAGAAAGAAGGTGATCTCTGCATTCAAACTAAATGAAAAAATCGAGGCGAAAACGATAATCTGTCTCTCGCAAACCAAGCCGTTTAGAAAAAGCCACCATTTTGCATATGTTGTGTATGTGCACGCGCTCGTGAGCGCGCGCTGATGACATTCTGTTGCATTCTCGTCCATTTTGACTTCACTGAATGCAACGAACGTTCTGTTCGTTTTCATCAGAAACGAGAACATGTGCTGAAAAGTTGTGTAGAGTGGCGACGTATGATACTACGATTACGTAAGGCGCGACGGAAGTTTGAAGAACCAGACGTGCAACTGGGTCCGTTTCCAGTTGCAACTTGTCTGCCTTTGACGTCATTAGCAGCAAAGCCCACGAAATTGAATTGTAGGCGACGGACGGCTGTTGATATTGTTACCATTGGAACACTGTAATTTAAAGCCAAAACTTCGTCACCAAAGCTCCTTCGCGCTTTACTCAACTGATAATCGCAGCCGTAAATAACGAATCACTATCACATTTATGGTCATTTATAGCGTGGGCAGAAAAACGGAGGCCATCCAAAAACCTGACGTCTATAGTCAAATGCTTTTATAACATAACTAAAGCAAAGCGCGCTCTGATTGGTTAATTTAGCGTCTACTATTTGCCCATGGGTGTACGCTGCTGACGTCTGTGCTAATGTTTACAAAGCAAATCTTTTGACAGACATTGTCTCCAAAGTAATGGCCGACGTCCTTCTGCCAGAAATGCGAAACTGTCTTCACAGTTGTCTGAAGATGAAACTTTATCGAGTTACTGGTGTGCAGTCGGTT